ACCGATTGCCAGCCTTTTGAAGAAACAGGCCAGAGAGAAGGAGCTTGATGAAAATGCTCGTATTGCCAGAGAGGCTGAAGCCAAAGAGAGGAAGATAAAGGAGGCTCATGATCTCCTTGAAAGCAGAAAAACTCTATTTCCTCCTTGGACTCTTAAAGAGCTTGTCAATGAAGCTATCGAGTCCCCCTGCACTCTTTGGCTTGAACCAGTGATCTCCTTGGACCGGGTTAATTCGGTGGATTCCCAATTTGACATGCCCTTGACCATAAAAGCTTTTATCTTCCATGCATTCGTGCACATATCTGAAGTTCATCATCCTCACCCGAAGGTTGATAGGGAGCTTTTGGACTTCTATCTGAGGATAGCTCAACCTCAGTATCAGATGTGGAGCGCACAGAATATCATCAACGTTCAGGTTCTCAAACCTGTTCGGGAGGGTAACTTCATCAATGTCAGATTCAAGGTCTTAAGGGGATCCGAAAAAACCGAGCATTCCATCTCTCTAGCTGATCTTCCCAACTTAAATCCTCATGACTGGATAATCTTGCACAACATTCTTCTTGTTAATGAAGTGGAATATGGTCCAATCATAGATCATTTCAAGAGAATGTTGGTGTGTTATATTTTGGAGGTTGCCAAGCTGGATCAAGAAGTTGCAAATGTTCTTAGGAAGACGCTCACTATCACTCCAGTCGGTTCTGCAAGTGATTTAAACAGAATGCAGATGGGACAGATTGATCCAAAACGAAACTCGGTCATGTTCACCAGGGCAGAAGGTCAGAAATGCTTATTTGCTTTGGCTGACAAACATCTTTACACCACTTCCTGCTTGGAGCATGTTCTGGGTATCATCAATCAATGCAAACAGAACTCGGAGAGTGATAAGAAGTACTTCAATTATATGATCAATTGGTACATCCACTTCTGACAAACACTTCTTTCTATAATTTCCAGCCTATTCAAAACTATGAAGAAAGCCAGTGCTGCAGGTGCAAGCAAGCTGGAGTGAGGTCTCGCCCCTACTGGCGCAAAGGGGGAGATTGTTGGGTATTGGGTGTTGCGTCTTGGGCTCGTCTCTTAGCCCCATTTTGTATCCGGTATGGGCCTGTCCATCCGTGACTTGTTTGTTAGGGTTTGTGTATTAATAGATGCTTGCATGCATCTTTTCCATAACTGATAGATTGTTTTTTATGTGTGATTTAGAATATCTCTTTTGTAACCCTAAAATCCTCTAAAGCGGAAGTTCTTAATCGAGCTTTGCTGAGGATTGAACGTTCTAATCATTCGACTCATTCAGATCCATACTTGTGTATTGTTTCATTGTTTTACATTCATTATCTACCTGTTACAAAGATCTAATCGATCAAAGAGTTTGTAAATCTCATCAATTTTCTTGGCCGTTGATCGTTATAATTTTCGATGCTCACGATTGGTTTCTTGGTTCCTTATGGTTCTCTATTGAACCCCACCCTATATATATATATATATATATATATATATATATATATATATATATATATATATATATCAAAACTTCTTAATTGATTGATTGAAAACATGTCCAGAATATAAATACAAGAGACGAGATAAATTTGGAAGGGATAATCACTAAAGCTAAACAATAATTCCTAAATAAAAGAAAGATATAGATAAAATGTACGGATTCCTTCAGAGTGTTTGATGCATTTTTATTAACTCAAGGTGAGAAATGTTTTAGAAGTTCATTTTATATAGCCAATATAAGGAGTATTATTATGCAAATTACTTAGTGATATATTGGGATTTTGGAACATTGTAAGGGAGCAACTCTGAAGGAGAGTCTTCCTTAAACGTTTCTTGAGAGGATTCATAACCGTTAATAGTTTCCACATTAGAAGGTTTCTCCCCTTTAGTAATCCCGATGGTGCACAATAGCATAGATAGTAAGAGGGGGGGGGGGGTAACTGGATGTTGCGCCTCCCCAACTTTTCTAAGACCTTGTGGTATACATACCACGAAGCAATCCATGGTCTAGCTAGCCACGAAAACTTCTCGTGCACACCACCCCAGCGTTTTGTGGTCGTGCTCATCCGTGCTCCCGATGACAAAATCAAACGGCGAACATGATTGGTTGTGGGTTTATTTGGCCGTTGAACGACTACTTTGACCTTGTTTTTTCAAACTCAATTCACTATATAAATAAACCTTCTATTTTCACCAAAACTTACACCTCATTCTAATCTTCATTCTCTACAACCACAAAACACATATACATGGATTCCACAAAACATATTGAATTTCTAAAAGCTTTTGACTCGGATGACGACGTAGAATTCGTCGACACATTCTTTAACGTTGTGCAACACATTCACGACGAAGAAAGTTCAAATGCAGCTCTTACAAGGGCGGTCGTCAATCGTGATCGCCAAGCCACACACGACTTATTGGTACGTGATTACTTTGCCGATAATTGTCTTTATAATGACGACTCACTCGAACGTCGTTTCCTTTTGAATAAGGCTATATTTTTACGTATTAGTAATGCTTTAGAATCTCATTATGATTTTTTCAAACAAAAACCCGATGCTAGAGGAAGAATGGGTTTTGGTACTATACAAAAATGTGCAGTTGCTCTTAGGTATTTTAGGATACAATATAGCATTCGATGCATATGACGAATACTTGAAAGTATCTGAGAGGACCGCAGTTGAATGTGTAGATTGGTTTTCTGCATGTGTTTATGAGGTTTTTCACGAAGAATATTTGCGCAAACCTACTCAAAGTGATATTGAGAGATTATATTCGGCTCATGAAGAGAGGCATGGATTTCCGGGTATGATTGCAGTCTAGATTGTAAACATGTGGCTTGGGAAAAATGTCCAACTGCATGGCGTGGTCAGTTCACCTGAGGATGAGAGGAACTTAGATCAAACAATGACTATCAACAAGAACAACGAAGTTTCACAAAGAACTTTCACTAAGAATAATAATCTCACAAAGAGATTATCGAATGCACGAAGCGGCTATTAGGGTTTGTGAAAGATGATCTCTCACAAAATTGTACAAAAAGACTATATAGAATTAATCTAGGCAATCCCTACAAATCAGGGATATACCAGCTAACTAATAGATGATAACTATGGAAACAAGATAAGTACTAAATCTGTTACAAAAGATCTAAATATAAAACTATACACTGAGTAATTAATACGCTGATGCTGATGTTGACGCTGGGTTATGTGCTGACGTTGAATGACCAGTTTCAAACATCATCATATTATAAGGTTCGACCTTACAATCTCCCCCAATATGATGATGTTCAAAACCAGCTAGACTAAAATACCCCTGGACAAAAATTCTTCATACTCAGCTTCATCTTCTACTTTCACTAGCCAGTAAGGACTATCTAGCAGCTCTTGTCTTCTATTCAGTAACTCCATAGCAATCAGTATGTGAAACTCTCTAGAGAGATCTTGATGACTCATGAACATTTGTCTTAAACCAACAAGATGTTCTGTTGGAGCCTTTGGAATTTATGTAGTATGCTGAAAACACATTTTCCTGTTCTTATCAAGATAAAACATTCCATGCTCAGGAACAGAGATGAACTTATGTTGAACCGGCTCAACACCGATAGGAAGAGAGTTGTTTATTCCTTCAACACCAAAATTTAGAACCAATACATCTTCACTATCAACTTGAAATCTAGTTCTTCTGATTCTTGGAACTGAGGAACTTGGGCCTTGCTGCTGAGGACGCTGTGTAGGAACAAGATCAAGACGCTGAACTTTCTTGATCAGTAAGTGAAGAGCACAGGTGAGTTCTGAAGAAAGAGCTGAAGTTTGCTTGGATGCTAATTCGAGCAAGTCCATCCATTCAGAGTATCCGTATCTAATCATCTTGTCTCTCTTTATAACTTCAGTGTATGGATGTTGAGGACCTTGACTTACTGCTACTGGGAGGAGGCTGTGAAGATTTAGATTTGGACTGATATTCTAAAAACCTTTGCATCTGAGCTTCAAAGGATCCTTTGGCCTGAAGTTTGTGCTGAATGAGGAATTCATCAGCTTGAGCAATATTCTTTAGAAGCTGAGCTTTATTGGCTTCATCAAGGATTTGCTTAACTTGATCAGGAGACATGTTCCATTCAGCTGCCAAAATGGATATGCTGACAATGGACTTAGATTTCTTGCTGGGAAGGGAAGTGTCAATATGTGAATCAGATAATTCAGTATTTGCTACCTTGCGCTTGCGAGATAAAGGTTGAAGATCCTCGCTAACTACATCTGAGTCTTCTCCTTGAACTCGCACAGTGGGCTCAATGAATTTCATGCCTAGCATCTGATACTCATCATCATGTTCATCTTCATCATCATCTGAGTCTTCTCCTTGAACTAGCACAGTGGGATAAATGAAGTTCATGTCCAGCATCTAACACTCATCATCATGTTCATCTTCATCATCATGTTCACATTCTTCAGTAGGCTTTTCAGTCTCTACTGGTCTATCAGACTCGTCAGTAGGCTTTTCAGTTTCTACTAGTTTATCAGACCCGTGCACAGGCTGTGGTGGCTCGGTCTGGTTTAAAATGTTCTGTTCAGATCCAAGCTCAACAGAATTAGTCTCTCCCCCTTTTTGATCATCTTCATGATTTGGGCCAGGGGAAGGAGTTGACAGAAGAACTCCCTTCAGTTGGTTGACATCAGCCTCAATACGTAGAAGACGCTGACTCATGTCTTGAGTCAGTATAAGAAGCTCATTAACCGCTGAGGTCGGGATTTGAATGAGCTGAGTACCTGGAGTTTCTTGTGATCGATGATACTCCCCCGGAGAGGGTTGCTCCCCCTGAGATGGTTGCTTCCCCTGAGATTGTTGCTCCCCCTGAGCTGAGTGAACCCTTTCAGTGACAGAAATAGTATGATGAGAAAGTTGAGGGGAGATATGACCACCGTCTTGCATTTCAGCTTGTAGATCAACATGAATTTCGTTGTTATCATCAACGCCTTCGTCAGTGTCAGCGTTTAGTGAAGGAACGGTATATATGGAATTGCGATCCATTCTCGCATCCGATCAGAGATGCCGATGTCATTTGCCAGTGGAAAATCCTGATACATTCGTACTGGCATGCGTGGGCATTGGATGGGGTTTCCAGAGTGGGAGTAGTAGGCTTCAACGAAAAATTTATCCAGGACAAGTGCAATCCAGCGTAGAAATGGAACATGATCAACTCGTACATTGTCACGAAGAAATTGGACAAGCTGATCAAAGAAGAAGGCCCCATAATCAAGATGTTTGTTGAGAAGAAGGGAACAGACAACTAGTTGCTCATAAGTACTCAGTTGATCACCACTACGAGATTTGTGACCCACACATTTGCAAAGTGCCCCGGTGAAGAACTTCCATCCTGGAGTCATACATTGACGCAAAATGAGAGCTGATCGAGCACCAACCTTCGAGTGATCATAGCCTAGTTGATCAAAGAGGCATCGACAACGTTCAATAGCTGGAAACTCAAAGAATGGTTCAAAAATTGGTAACCTGAGTGTAGCACTGAGGAGATCAGCGGTAATGAAAACTGAGCGACGGCCACGCCCAATAGTGCCGGAGATGACGTTGTTTTCATTATTAACCGTTGCGGTGTAGTAGAACTCACATACTTGTTCAAGAAAGAACTCTGATAGAACCTCACTGATAGCGTATCAAAGTCTGCAGGATACTAAAAAATTGACCAAATCATCAAGTCCAAGACCGCGATGAACATTTGGAATATCAGGGTTGAAAACTACATTTGTGGCTTTGATGTATATGGGAAGAGGAGGAGAGTTTGGAGCTGGGACGACTCTTCTTGAAGTGGAGGAGAAAGTAAAAAGTGATGCCGCCATTGAAGAGAGTTTGAATTCTAGGGTTTTGAAGATAGAGAGAAGGGAGTTTGAATGGGGGGAGGAAGGTTTGGGAGAGAGGTGGGAAAAAGTTTAAATATGGGATTAAACGGTTAAAAAAAAGGTAATGATTTTCTTTATTGAAAATAACTGTGTAGCTTAACAAACTATCAAATCAAAAAAATAGTCGTTGGGTAAAAAGAGCCGTTGTACTGAAGAGGAAACGACAATCAGTGTCTGTGGAAGCGCTGAGATCAGTGTCACGAAAAGTTACATGCTGAAAGATAGTCCGTCGTCAATTCAAGGTACAACTTGCTTGTTTAAGGTTAGCAAGGTGGTTGGTGTGTGTGATAGATATTGGTTTAATTATCTAACCATCGGCATAGAGTGTTGAGTCTTTATCAGTGAGTGGTGCTTCATACTAAATCATTAGACACTGAGTGAGAAGAAGGTGAAGAGAGGATTGTTGCATGTGATAGACCTTGGTGTTTTGGTCTAACCATCGGCAAAGACTCTTAGACTCTCATCAGCATGTGTTTTGTCACACTGAATCATATAATTAGTGTAAGATTGGTAAGAAGGGATAGTTGCGTGTGATAGACCTTGGTGTTTTGGTCTAACCATCGGCAAAGACTGTTACACTCTCATCAGCAAGTGTTTTGTCACACTGAATCACAGAATCAGTGTAAGATTGGTAAGAAAGGATAGTTGCGTGTGATAGATCTTGGTGTTTTCTCTAACCATAGGCAAAGAGTTTCAAGTTGTTATCAGTGTATGGTTTAATACAGTGAATCATTTAACTTTAGCTTAGAAGATTTGTAGAAGAGATAGAGATAAGAGATCATACAATGTACTCAGCATGGTAAACATCATCAGCACATCATCATCAGCAAAAAAAAAAATACATTAGTTTATAAGACAATAGCAAACATTAGTAAAACATTTTCAATCCAGAGTGATCATTCCAAGTTCTCCAATAATGTGAACATTAGTTTGAGTATCCAGGGGCTTGGTGAAAATATCAGCTAGTTGATCTGAAGTCTTGACATGTTTTAGAACAACCTTTCCCTTCTCAACATTGTCTCTGATGAAGTGATGTCTGATCTCGATATGCTTTGTCTTTGAGTGCTGAACAGGATTCTGTGTGATCTGAATGACACTGTTGTTATCACAGTATACAGGAGTCTTTGTGAATTTAAGCCCATAGTCTAAAAGTTGATTCTGAATCCATAAGAGTCGAGCACAACATCTCCCAACTGCAACATACTCAGCTTCTGCAGTAGAGATAGCTACTGAGGTTTGCTTCTTGCTAGACCAACTGATTAGTCAATTTCCAAGGAAATGACATCCACATGACGTGCTCTTCTTGTCTAAGTTGCATCATGCATAGTCAGAATCAGTGTATCCAAAGAGTTCAAGTGCTGAGTCATGAGGGTACCACAATGCCAAGTTCTGAGTGGCCTTTAAGTATCGAAAGATGTGTTTAACTGCAATGAGATGAGACTCCTTGGGATTAGCTTGGAATCTAGCACAGAGAATGGTTCCAAACATGATATCAGGGCGACTTGCAGTGAGGTAGAGAAGAGATCCAATCATTCCTCGATAAAGAGAGTGATTAACATCAGTACCGGTGGGATCAGCGTGTAGCTTATCAGTCTTGGACACCGGAGTAGAAGCCGGTTTGCAGTCGCTGAGAGAGTACTTAACAAGCATGTTAGTAATATATTTACTTTGACAAATTGAGATACCTGATTTTTGTTGCTGAACCTCAAGACCTAAGAAAAAGGTCATCTTCTCCATCATGCTCATCTCGAACCTTTGAGACATGATCTCAGCGAATTCCTTGCTCAGCTTCTCATTTGGAGATCCAAAGATGATATCATCGACATAGATTTGAACAAGAATCATGTCTGAGCCTTTGCTTTTGATGAAGAGAGTATTATCAATTGCTCCTCTTCTGTAGCCATTTTCAAGAAGATATGATGTCAATGTATCATACCAGGCCCTAGGAAGTTGCTTCAGTCCATATACAGCTTTATCTAGTCTGTACACATAGTCAGGGTGCTCTTTGTCTTCAAAGCCTGGGGGCTGTTTCAGAAACACTTCTTCTTCTAACACACCATGAAGAAATGATGTTTTGACATCCATCTGGTAGAAAATGAAGTTCATGTATGAAACATATGCAAGGAACAGTCTGATTGCTTCAATGCGGGCAACTGGAGCAAAAGTCTCCCCGTAATCAATAGATTCAATTTTACTGAAGCCCTGAGCAACAAGTCTTGCTTTTTTGCGAGTAATAACACCATCTTTATCAACCTTGTTGTGGTAGACCCAGCGTATTCCGGTGATGGTCTTTCCTAATCGTCTGGGAACAAGAGTCCAAACCTTGTGCCTTTCGAACTCGTTCAACTCGTCTTGCATGGATTTAATCCAGTTAGCGTCTTGAAGAGCTGAGTGTATCTTTTCAGGTAAGATCATTGAAACGAAATTAACATACATGCAAAAATTATTAGATACATGAGATATGGTTCAAACACCATCATGAAGATTCCCAATAATTTGATCAACAAGGTGATATCGATGTTCAGGAGATGATTACAATGGATTTAACACTGAAGTGTTATTACTGAAAGGAGCATTAGTTACAGGAGAGTCTTCAGATTCAAGGGTTTCATCAACATCTGATAAAAAGGTTGTCATGCTGACTACAATGCCTTGATTGACAGGACTTGGGTCTGGAATGATGGGATCAGGAATGACAGCTTCTTCTTCAGTATGTGAGACTTCATCAGATGGACAAGAGAGAAGCTCTTGAAAAATATAAGGGGAATGAGCTACTTTTTCATCAGTGTAGGATTCTTCATCAAACTTTACATGAATGGATTCCTCAATGTATTGTCTGTTCACATGAAAAACACGAAAAGCCTTTGAAATAGATGAATATCCAACAAAAATACCTTTGTCAGCCTTAGGCTCAAATTTTGATCTGGGGTTGCACTGATTAAGAATATAACAAATGCATCCAAACACGTGAAAGAAGGATACGTCCGTCTTTCGACCTTTCAGCATCTCATGTGGTGTCTTCTTGTGAACCCTATGAATTAGAGAGCGATTCTGAGTATAACATGCTGTATTAATAGCTTCAGCCCAAAACGACAAAGGAAGACCATCATGAATCATTAAGGTCCTTCCTGCCTCAATCAGTGTTCGATTTCTTCGTTCAACAACTCCATTTTGTTGAGGCGTGCGAGGAGCTGAAAAGTTCTGCCCAATACCTTTAAAATCACAAAAGTCTTCAAGAGTCGAATTCCGGAACTCAGTTCCATGATCACTCCTTAGCTGCTTAACTTTGAGACCAGTCAGCGTCTCGTTTTGTCGAATCAGTGAGATAATTTCCTGTTTAGCTTGACCTTTGTTCTTCAAGAAAGCCACCCACGTAAATCGGGTAAACTCATCCACAACCACTAGCGTATACTTATTTCCTCCTTGGGAACGAACAAGAATAGGTCCAAACAAGTCCATGTGTAGTAAATGAAGAGGAACAGATATGCTAGAACATGAATTGGGTTTGAATGATGACTTGGTTTGCTTTCCTTGTTCACACGTTGAGCACATCTTGTCTTTGGCAAAGCTGAGTTTTGGGAGACCTCTAACTAGATCTTGATTGGATATTTTAGATAGATTCTTAAAGTTCAAATGAGAGAACCTTTTGTGCCAAATCCAGCTGAGATTGGTTTGAGACTTGTTAAAGAAACATTGCATAAGTTCCTTGTCACTTGAGAACATGTCAAGAACATATATATCATCTTTTCTACTTGCTGAGAGCACAATATTCTTGTCAGTGTTGATGACTCTTCCTTCCTTCTTTGTAAAATGAACTTCATAATCAGCATCACACAATTGGCTGATTGAGATGAGATTGTGTTTGAGACCCTTTACATATGAAACATTCTGAAACGCCACATTATTGCACTTGATGTTCCCATATCCTTTAGTAAACCCCTTTCCATTGTCTCCGTAAGTTACTGTAGGACAAGTTTTCTTAACATAGTCTTCCAGTAGAGACTTGGATCCTATCATATGTCTTGAGCAACCGTTGTCTAAGTACCATAGATGCTCTTGACCCTGCAGTGCTGAAAAAACTAGTTAGAACACACTGGCCCATTGTAAGATGGGTCATTCACAAAGTTATTTGACAATATATTATAGCACTCTTTAGGAAGACAGTTCAAATAATTTGATTTAAGAGTCCATCTTTCATTTCTAACTTTGATGTTGTCAGCTCTTAACGATGTTTTATCAAACTTGCATTCACTGATCTTGTGAGAGGTGTCACCGTATTTGTAACAAACTCTAGTACCAAAGTTTTTCTTGGTGAGCAGATTTCTTGATTTAATACATTTGGATTTGAAAGATTCACCAAGTGAACTTTGAGTTCTTTTGTTTGACATTGAATTGCAACTGAATTCAATGTTAGAAGAATTATGATCAGTGATGGATAAGGAGCTGACATCAGTATCAGATTTAGACTTATGCACTGAAGCACTGCAATCAGGATAATGTTTAAGTTGTTCATGAACGGCATGAAACACTCCATTTGAGATAGGAAATGCGATAATATTTTTAGTGAGAGGAGTTGGTCTCTCAAGATGTGCAGGGTAAGAAGTAGGATCAATTCCGGTAATTTCAATATTACACTCAGTAACACCATTAGAATCAGTAACACAATATTCATCAATGAGACTCTGATTAATAAAAGTGTTGCTGATAAACTTGTTTTTGAAACTATCTTTTAATTCATTCATGGAATAAAATTCAGATTCCTTTTCTTGAGATTTAAAAACTTTTTCAGCTTCAGCAAAATTTCCCCCAAGGATTTTCTCACAGTAATGAGGTATTTTAGCAGAAATTACATAATTAGCATTTTTGTGAGATTTAGCCCAAAGTTTTAACACAGTTTGTTCTTTGTTCAAGAGGTCTTTAACTTTATCAATTTCAGCAGA